TTAAGGTAAATTATATAATAATTTGAACTTGTTAAATTACATAATAATATATAATTTTGGCTTAAGGTAAATTTTATTCATATATTTAAAGCTTAAGTTCCGAACCGACAAAACATTGAAAATAATGGTCGACTACGACGAGTCGAAGCGCCGGCAGATATTCGCCGACAATTACCGCCGGATTCGCGACCACAACAAAGAGGCCGATAAAGGCGTTCACACGTATCGGTTGGGCGTCAATCAGTTCACAGACATGACTCAACACGAGTTTACTAATGGATTCTGTGGGTGGGCACCATTTAGGCTCATGGTCAATCAAATATCACAATCATAATTGCTTGTATATGTGCACCCTATGTTCTGGTATAACTTCTATTTGTTTATTCATAGCCTTGGTGTTAACCTTGTTTTATAATTGACTTTACCTAACAAACTTTAATAAATTAATTGTAATTAAAATTAATATTTTAATGCGTTAATTGTGTTAAGTAATGATAACATTAATCTTGTTATTAACTAGTTTAAAAACATCAACAGGAAATTAGTAAATGATAAACATGAACATTATGCAGTTAAACGAAATATAATTTAACATGAGCTACATTCAATACTTATTTTTATTTACAAAGTTATTATACAATTAGATTTTTGTCATAACAACCATTGACTACTGTTTAACACAATTTTCGTTATCGGCGTAAAAATTCCTGAAATAATAATTAATAACAATATTTGTTCACAACTTTAAAGCTATGGAAACCGATAACAATTAATACCAAACAATACTCTATAATGTATTATTCATTTTAATTCAAAGAAATAAATATTACAAGTTTTATGTACAAGCAATTTAATTGAACTTAAAATTATATTTAAAATTAATTAAACTCGTGTTTAATGAATACAATGGAAATCAAATCAATGAAATGCGACAAAAACATCATTAAAGAAGTGAAACTATTTCACGTGTTTGACGACATACTCGGGTATAACGTGTTGTTCGCAACCAATTATGACTTTGTGTACGGCTTGGGCGCCAACCACTGGGGGTGTCTCGGGTTGGGTCACAACCAGCCCTTCGACACACCCGTCATTATACCTGAATTGTGTCACAAAAACATTCAACAATTTTTCATCGGCGGTGACTTCGCTCTGGCCATCACTGAACACCAGGGCGTGTATGGCTGGGGCTGTAATAATGGCGGACAAGTGGCCAACAGTGAGCACTTGGAGGGCTATCTAAAGCCTCGACCCATACATGAGTTAAACGGATTGATGCTCTGGCCATCACTGAACACCAGGGCGTGTATGGCTGGGGCTGTAATAATGGCGGACAAGTGGCCAACAGTGAGCACTTGGAGGGCTATCTAAAGCCTCGACCCATACATGAGTTAAACGGATTGAATATAACGCAAATCAGTTGCGGTTCGTATCACTCGCTGGCGCTCACCGGCGAGGGCTGTGTCTACGGCTGGGGTTATGACCGATACGGACAGGTTGGGTGCGGCCGCGGCGGCGGTGAGTCCAGTTCCCGGTCGCCCCACTCGGCGGTACCGGTGCCTAAGAAATTGCATTTCAAACACAATAATAATGAATATAAAATAAAATCCGTTTACTGTTTGAGTTACTCGTCGTTCGCCATCGCATACACCGGCCATGTGTTCAGTTGGGGTCGCAATTATTTCCACAATTTGGGTCATCCGGTGGCGGGAAATGTTGGGAAACCCCTAATGATTGGCAATCTGTCGGGTGTGGAGACCGTGTGCTCCACAGGACTCATGACATACTTCCTATCAAATGAAGGTTTAGTGTACTTTTGCGGCCAATATATGGCTCAAAACGGGGAATATTCCCTCCGAAAGTTCCCGACAAAAATCCACTCGAATAGGAGGTGCCAGGAGTTGCAGCAAATCAACTCTCAACGCGAACGATCATCGTTGATTATGGCCGTTATTACCGACAGGATTTATTTCCTGAATGATAAAAATGATTTACTTCTTACAGATTATCGCAGTTTGTTTGACTGCAGCGACAATACGTTGAAAACAATTAATTTGTTTAAATATAGAGAGAATTCTCACATTAAAAACGATAGATTTGTCGCGAAATATACATTAATTTTGGACAAAATGTTTGATACAATTAAGCAAACAATTGAAGGCATGTGTTTAAAAACTACTAATATTTTAATTTATTATAATGTATAATTAATTTTATATTCTAGATCAAACAGCAAGAAAATTAAAAAGGAGTTTGAGCGAATATAGTAGACTATACGATGTACTCTCTAAAATTGGATCAGGTTCATTCGGTACAGTTTATCAAGTTAGACGGAAATTAGACGGTCAGAAATATGCTATCAAAATATTTGACTTGCAATGTATGTAACATTTATATAAATGTACTGTATAAATTTACATGTACATTTATTGTATAACAAATTAATCAATAACAGTAATATCAAAAATATATTACAACCTATTTGCACTTTTAGCACGGGCTGATTTCTATGACCAATCACAACTTTTCAAAGAGTTAAACAACCTTATTAAAATACGCTCCGACTATGTCGTACACTATTTAAACTCGTGGTTCGAAAGCGACAAATACTACATACAAATGGAGTTATGCGCCGACAGTCTCCGCAATATATTGTTGGCCAAACGTCGAGCGTTTGGCCGCCAAACGGCCGCTCAGGCCATGAATTCAGTCGAGTTTTTCATTTCGTGCCAATTATTCAAAGAACTCGTGGAATGCGTACAGTATTTGCATTCATCGAAACCGGCGGTCATTCACCGCAATCTCAAACCCGAGAACGTATTGATCGCCCGAACCGTTCGCAACGGCCGGTACTTAAAGCTCAGCGACTTTGGGTTGGCTTCGCTGCTCGACACCAGTATAGCGGCCGCCAATCGGGACGCCCTGTATATCGCGCCGGAAGTGATTGAGGGCCACAAGTATGACCACAAGTCCGATCTGTACAGTGTGTCCAAAATTGGCGAACAGATTTTTGATTTTAACCTAGATGAGTGTTTGTAAGTATTAATGCAAATTATATTTAAAAATCTCCCATGTTACAATTTTCGTCATTTAATTACTTCGCATAACATCTAGGTATCAGTCAAATAACCGCGCGATCAACACATGTGTGACTAAACTACAGGAAATACTGTTGAGGTTGGGATCGGATGACCCGCTCGACCGGCCCGACTGCGGCCGAGTGCTGGACAGACAGTGCGAGTGGTCTATAGACGAGTATTATGTGGCAAATGATGCCAATTGTCGGCACGTGTTGTCACACATCCGGCAAAACGAGTGCCGCTTTTTCTTTGAATATTTTGCCGCAAAATATGAATACATTGTGGAGATTATGGGCGGACAGCAGTCGGCGCCCACTCCTACCACTCATACGTTGGGCAAAATGTTTGCCAATGGCAATAATTGAGTGTTAATTATAATAATCTTATATTTAATAATTAAAATTATTCATTTTATTATAAATAAAATCAATTTTACAGTTAATATAATATATAATACAGTTATATATTAATAATAGGTATCAAATCTTATATAAATGTTTAATTATTCAAATCATAAATAATTGGCAAAACATTTGATAAATTTATTTTTTATGGACTATTAATTTTATAACGAGTGATATAACATTGCCGTCACATTAAATGAAGTCACGTCACTTTACATAAGATATTGTATTTATAATTTTGAACTTTATTCGTTCTAGATAAGTGAATTTATTAATTCAAAATAATAGCTTAAACGTGATATTATGTACAGGGTTGGGCATATATAGGAAGAGTTTTAAATTAAGCGCCATTTCAATACCAGTAGAGATACAGACGTCAATTAAAGTTTGTTTTAATCACAAAAGTGTATAGTTTTTTTAGCACATGTTTTGATTTGATTAAAATAGCGTCTGCAAAA